GGTAACAAGCCTTGAAGACTATTCAGAAACAACAGCTAATCAGATTTCAGGATGCTGTCTGAGAAGTTGATGAATAAACTATTTACTGTGCCTTTCTGCTTGCATCTAAAACAACTAGATACCTGGTTTCTAAAATCATGCTTTTTTTTTTTTTTTTTACTCCTTCTGAAAAATACCTTTTTTTTTCTTCCTGCAGTTGATGGCTTTGGGGAGCTGATCATTGCTGATTAATCTTAGCTGACTACTGAACTTTGGAGCTTTCCCCTGTTGGTATAATAGAGCCAGAGTTTAATCTTATGTCCTCCCCTTTTTTTTTTTTTTTTTTTAATCCAGGGGGGAAAAAAAAAAACTTTTAACTGCAACTTGTGAAAATAATCTGAATGTTTTGAGAATTGAAGACAATCTTAGCAGTGTGTTCCTGATCACCCATCAGCTTTTCACAGGTATATGGAAATGATAATTTATTAGAACTACTGAATCCTCTCCCTTTTTCTACTGTACAATAATTAACTGGTTATCTAGCTTCATAATTCAAAGGTCTAAGATTTGATGATTGTCCTCTTAATTATTTCTGGAGTTTTAACTACAACACTCCTATATGAATAAAACATTACTTTCAGGTCAATATGAGGTTTCAGGCTCATAGCCTTCCAATTAATGAAACAACACTACTTCTGTACCTAATCAGCCACAAAGGATTATGGGGACCTAGGGCATTTTCATTAGTATCTCTTAAAGTGCCTGACACAAAGTGATGCAGATTCAGTTTTTCTGGGAAATTGAGATGTTAAACAGTTGTTTCTAAGGAATGAAAGGATGTGTTTAATGTCCAGGGGAATACAGTAAGAAACCTGCTATTTCTTTGAATGGCTCGTAGCTCTGACTTAAAATGACATTTAAGGACAACTGTTTATCTTAAAACAAGCCAACCAATAAAACAAAAAAGGACCTTCTGTGCTGCTGAAAACAACAGTAATTACAATGGATACATCGCATAGCTTTGTTTGTAAACGTTTTTTTTTTTTCTTCAAACTCGAAGTACGGATCCAGTAGGAATGTAAGCACTGAATGTGTTCCAGTTTCTTGACTCTGCCCTTCACCATGTGATGTAGTGCAGCTGCACTAGAAACTCAAGTGTTGCAGATCCAAATTTTTTAAGCTCACCACCAGAGCAGTAACTTAGTTGTTTGAGGATAGTATTCTGAATAATGTTGATCAGTCTGTCTTCAAAACAGTAGGAGGTACCCCTTACTCCGATGGATTCTTTGCAAGTCTCTTAATGAGGAAAAGATCTTAAATTCTGTAACTGTGAATTATACAAGAATAACTTCTTGTATGCAAGAATAGGTGCTGACAAGGAGAAATTCAGTTAGATACCTTGCAAAATACAAAACACACCATTATACTGTTCTTGATGGTAAACTTTCACCTCAATTCTCATTCTGTGGTGTGGCTATAAAAATAACATTGCATGCTCTCTTGCTGGTAGCTTAAGTGACTCTAGCTTCTCTAGACATGGAATTTCCACTTTCTCCTGACTATTAAGGTACATTCTGATGAGATGTTCACATGAATGCTGAAGTCAGTTCGAGTGCTGTGTTCCCTAGTAGCATTTGCAGTGTGCTCCTGCATTTGTGGAACTGTGCTGTAAAGCAGGCACAGCAGTCTCTCTCTCTTGAGAACTCAAATGACTGCAGGGACAAAAGGGATGATGATTTGCAATGCTGCAGCTCAGAAGGATGATAGATAGATAAATGAGGAATTGTGAACTTCTCTAGGCAGCTACCTTGCTTACCAAAGTCTTTGCTCACTGAACTGTTCTGTATCTTGATCCTGCAAACAAGTACCCCCAAGGATAAGAGAAAGGTTTGTTTGTTTGTTTTAAATTATTGTAATCCTTTTTACCTTGTGCATTCATGAGTTTGGTCTCTTCTTGTCAAAGCAGTTTTGCAGGTTGGCTGAATCAGGTATTATTTTCAAAGCAAGAGATTTGGGTACAGTTCTTTAGCAGTCAGCTAAGAATGGCTAAAAATGTAGCAATTATCTTGAATTAATGTTTAGTTTGTTTTTCCATTTTATGTTACAAAAAATATACTGTAAATACCTTACAGCTCAATGGTTGGTATACATAGGGTGTTGCAGGGCAGCTGTATTTTGGTCGTACACTGAATATCTTTGCTTTCAGAAAGATTCTTTCATAGGCCTATTGATGTCATCTTTTTCAGTGAGCACAAAACTTGCTCACAAAATTTATGGAATAGTACTATATTTTCTGCTTTTATTAAGTAGGAAGTGTTTAATCTCTAGCTGTCTGAAATATGTATCAAAACTATAAAAGTCTGTCATCTACAATCTCCTGTACTGCTAAAACATGTTCTCTTTTGCTCGGTGTTGTTTCTTCTTTGGTCCTTTTCTTTGGATGCATTTGGGATCTGTGGAGCATTTGATCCTGGCTACTGGAAAAACATGACATAGCACTTCTTAGCATGTGAGAAACCTATTCTGAAGTTCATCCTGAACATCCCTGAATTCTTTGATTAATAGGGATGTATGGTAAAGAAAACAATTTAAGATACTGGCACACAGTTGGTACTGTTGTCTGTTTGGTAATTAAGTTTTGAAACCAGCTCTGTGGGAAATGACAAAAGTAATTTGTGAGACATTCCAGCTTGTATGCTATGTTAGTGAACACTAATCTTACCTCTTACTATGTCTACTCTGTTGCCTATTGCAGCATCATATCTGCATTTACTTATACCATTTGCTGAGGTGGATATTGCGCAGTTTTATCCTCTTTCATACAACGTATTTTTCTCTGAGAAGACAACTGATTTTTATTTTTTTAATTTTCCTAGTTCTCATCTATAAAGTGCCTGGGAGATTCACCTAGTTTTACATCAGAAAATTGAGGCACAGAAAAGTTCTATTTAAACATATCATTTGATTTTTTGAGTATCTCAGGACATCAAGGACTCGGTTTCAGTGTACTGCGTATATGTTAAAAGCACAGCTCCCATCAATTTTGTTTACAGTGCTGAGTACTTACAGTTCTGCTGGACAGGCCCAGGTGTCTCAAACCAGAAATGAATGCTGAAGTGACTTCTTATACGGTAGGCTGTTGCCTGGGCAGAACTAGAGTAATGTTCTCTAGTGTGGTATACTTCTTTCCTTTCTTGTTTCATTTGTTGTATTTACATTTATGTAATACATGGGACAGTGTACTTCCTTCACTACTTTGTCTTCATTAGCGATGATACCTGCTGGTATATTGGATGAGGCAGCATCCTATGGAAAACAGCAGGTCTGGGCTTCAGAAATGAAAATGCTTTGGCTTTTATTTTGAAAGATGTGCTATGCATTTCTCTCCTTCATGGAACATGATGTTGAGGTGCATAGCCTTGAAAGTGGATTGTATCATAAAGGGCACCTAAATTAATGTGGAAAAGACTAATATTTCTGTTATACAGGGAAACCTGAGGTAGATGCTCACTGAGTAATTATTTTCTACTGTATGAGCGCTCTACTATATTCACTTATGGTTTTGCAGTGCTGCCTGGACTTCTAAGAATGAAGTCTGTTTTCAGGGAAAATATCAAGACAAGGATTCCAGTCTTGAGCTTTCTCAGCATAGCTCAATTTGCTCTCATAAAATGTCTTCAGTTATTCCATAGTACCCTACTTCCCTTGTGAGTATCCTAATTAAATTTTTAGAACATAAGATGTTTGGAAATACCTCTTTACTCCGTTCCTTCTCAGCAACAAATTCTGTGTTGCTTTTTTGCAGGGCAGAGATGTTGCTGAATGGTCAGTGAACCTGAGCAAAAGTAAGGACTTCCATTCCTTAGAGATGAAGTGCCAAAGAAGCCTGCTTGCAATAAGACAGGTACCAGGAGCTTTGATAACTAGAGCTAAACCAAGGGGAACGCATGCCTATCCTTGTTTTGTGACTGTCTCCAGGGCTCAGGGACTTGCAGTTTGAACCAAACAGTGCCAGCTGAGGGGGGAGGAGGGAGGAAGGACAGGATTGTGGATATTTAATCTTTCTCTGTTTTCTTCCACATTTCAGGTAAAGAAACCCCCCCATCTCTATACTGTTACTGTTAAAATCCTTCACAGGCCCAATGCTGCAAAACAAAAACAAAACAAAAAAACCCTGCAAAACAAACAAAAAACCAACAACAGCAAACAGGGCTGTTTGGTTCTTGATGCTGTGAATGTCTTTGCAAGTCTCACTTGTTCAGTGGCAGTTTTCAGAAAGGTGCACAGTTTGCATGAGCTTCTTTCTGTTCCAGGGAGAATAATTCCAGATTGAAAGAAAAGTTGTAATGTGTTACTAACCAGGAGACCTTGAGAACTTCACAGCACTGGCTGCACTGAGCTGTCCTGACTTAATGGGTTCTGTTCTGGCCTGATTCACAGCTCCTGGGTTGAATGTTTTTTGCATTCATGTGGACTGTATATCCACCTTTGATCCAGTGTGTTTGTCTTCTGGAAATTCTGTGCTTTAGTGATGAATATGCATTAGATGCTTGAGAACAATGTCAAGTAAGGCCCTCTTTTTATTATTTCAAACGTAGATGGTTTAATTTTGCCTTTTAAAAAAAGTTTTGAGAAAAGTGCCTCCCAGGCAAGTAAGTGCCATTATTTTAGGTATTGTGAAATGTGATGTAGCTGATATCAGAAACTAGGTGAATACAAGGGCTGTTTTCCACAGTTGTGTAAAATGTGTGACACTTCACATTATAAAGCAGCAAAGATGGATGAAATCTGAACAATGAACTTGCTGCTGTTGGGTTGTTACGCTATCACTGGGTAGAGATCAAGTCATTTTTAGTTTAGATTTGTATGATTTTTCATACCAGTATTCTTAGCGTGGCCGCAGGTAGCCTTGCTTTAGTATAATTAAACAAAAATAATGAAGTAGCTTATCATACTAAAGGCATGTGATTTCATGATGAAACTTGCATGTGAAAATTCAAAACACTGTTAGTTACATCAGATGTTTTCTATTTGGAAAAACTTAGGTTTATTCAAGGACAAATTGGCTACAGGATTACCAAATGCCAGTGACAATTACATTACCCAGTAAAGCACTGGATAATACACGAGGCAGATCCTGAGCCTCTGTAAACTGTCCTGAGAAGTTCAGAATAGACAAGAAATTTGTCTGACCTGCTGCTGCTTTGAGTGGATCTCTCCCCTCCTCCTTTAACCATCAGCTTTGTGTCTTTATCTAGTCATACATCAACCCTGGTGTTTTTGTCTATTTGTTAAGAACTGGATGAGCTTGGATACTGCAAATTAGAACTGAACTTTGGTCAGAAATCAGGCCTTTCAATTTTTAACTTCAAGTGCTTAGCATGCACCTTTCATGTGTAAGCAACGTGGCTGTTTGCTCTAAATTATAATGTTAAGAGCTTTTTCAATTGCTTGCTTACAGCGCAAACTAGGCAAACAAGTGTGCCCCAAACTATATTTCGAATTTGTAACAGATGTAATACGCATCTTAAATCTCAAATAGTGCATTAAGAAACCCTAGATCTAGCTCAGTCAGAAAGTGTTCAACTGACAGTCAACAGGAAGCTAAGAGGGAGAGCTGCACTGTATTGGTACAGTTTTGGATGTAGTTACAGGAAAGCCTGGGTGTGTTTCATCTTGTAGCTCAGCTCTGCTGAAGTGCTGCTTGATGGTGTCCAGCAGAATAGTGTCCCTTTGAGTGATTAGGTTAAGTGAGAGGAGAAAATGTTTTTTTTTTTTTTTTTTTTAAGTAAACTGAAAACAGCATGATCTTGCACTGGCTCCTTAGTGACTCATTCTTTTTCAGCAAAGTAACTGGGTAATTTCTGTTTGAGTGCTAGGAATAATGGTGAGGAAGGCAGACCCAGTAGCTCAAAATAGGGCTTGCCCTCACTGTTTGTGTTGTCTCCATTCATTCCTGTTTGAGAATAGTTATTTCCCTCAGCCCTCTGGGAAATGGTAAAGGCAAGGGAGGCAGGAGTGTGCTTTCAGTGTGCCAGCTGTGTGAAACAGGTGCTTCCCAAACCTTGCATCCAGGCCAGCCAGGAAGCAGTGACCAAGGGTGCACACAGCTCACAGTCTAGGGTTGCAGCTCTCAGGCTCTGTCTGCGCATTGCTGGGGTGTGAGCAGCTTTAAATCATTCCCCTTCTAATTAAAAACAGTGTTGGTGTATTGGCTTTTCAGGTACCCATCTGTATTGAGCGGATCTGCCCGTGCCCCTTCGAGGATCCCTTCCGTCCCTCCCCATCGGCGTTGTTCGGGGGATTAAAGCGGCGGCGGCCCCATACACAAACGCAGCTGGTTCCGTTTGGTCAGCCTGAGCCTTGCTGTGAAACCACGACAAGAATTCCAGTAAGTTGGCAACACTGAAACACAAAGAAAACAACAATAGGAAAAGTCCTTCCGTGCAGAAAGGAATGTTTCAAGCGCCGTTCTCCTACGGTGAAAGGAGAGCGGGTGGGAGGGAGCAGGGAGATTTGAAGAGGGCAGGTCCCCTCCCCCGGCAGCTCTGGATCTTGTGATGGAGAGATCTTATCCTCTCTTTGTGATTCAGAGGTGCCAGGAAGCTAATTGAATATTCTGATCTGCCCCCTGTGTTTCTTGTGGCTTGACCCCGGTGCTGTGTCGTACCACTACACCAAACAGCCCCGAACCTGCATAAATCACAACCTTGCAAAAGCCCACACTCCACATCTTCTCCCCTCCTCTCTCCCCCCCCCCCCCCCACCGCCCCGTTTCCTTTTCTAGCCCGATAGATAGAAAACCTTAGGAAAGAGTTAGGAGGATTAGCGTCCTGCGGGACCTAGGGAAAAATCTCAGTCTGCCAATAAACAACAACACATTCCTTTAAAACTCCTGCAAGTGTAATGCAGGTCTCCCCACCCCAACCTGAAATTACAAGCAAAAAGAGGTGTTTGGTTTTAAATACCACTTTTCAAAATCACTTTAAATTTTGTTGCTATCAAGCACCCATTGTAATGAGTGCGATGTGAAACAAACAAGTGATATAGAGACTTTCTAAGGGTGGTGTCATTAGAATTCATCTGCCCAAATTTCCTGCAGGACAAACAGATCCATCTCCTTCCCACCGTGCGTATACACAGCAGTCTCTTTTTCACACACAGGTCTGTGTGAACACGCACAGAAAGGAGCAGCTTGGCATATCTCAATTTTCTATACTGAAGCCTACTCCTGATGAGTGCCAAACAAAGTAATTCAACTTCACTTAGTTTATCTGTAACATTTCTGAACTTGTGCAGAAAGCATCCCAAGTGCGTGCCCTTTTCCTAGGCCCACGTTTTGTCCTGAAGCACCTGGCTATCAGTATCTTTCCCTGTGCTCCTCTGTACTGCTCCAGCTTCATTTGTAGGTATGTGATTCCTGCAACAGCAGCGATAAAACACAAGCAGGTGCCTCACCTGTGCTGTAGGTAGAACCAGAGGAAAGTGCCCAGCTGTTGTTTTCAGCATTCTTAGCCAAAGTGCTTTACCAACCTGATTCTATCTCCTAAGAAAGAAGTAATACTGTTTATGCTTTTCCTTTTGCAATACTAATGTGAGGAATGGTAATGACCAAATTTATAAGCTTTATCCCTTGCGTTTGCTAACTGGGTATTTCCAAGTTGTCGGATACACTTCCCTCGTTCGGAGCGTGTCGTTGGGACGCTAAAAGCGGGGACACTTACCGCTTGCAGACGGACGGTGCCCCGTTCTGCCCCAGCGCGCAGCGCTGCGAGCTGGGACACGGCGCCCGCTGCCCCGCGGAGGGAGGGGCGGGCAGTGCGGCCATACGGCCCGCTCCGCGCCTCATTCTCTCATGCTAGTTCCGGGGCTGCGGGGTATAAAGAGCTTTATGCAATGTCTGGAGGGTGGGAGTTTATAGAGAACGCGATGTCTCATCAGGGGAGCGCGCCTTTCTTCTGTAACTAGCGGGATAGGAAAAAGATCCCGAGTTCTCTGTGCGGAGCGGCATCCGAAGCAGAGCAGCCGGCCCGGAGGGAGCTGGAGCATCCCAGCCCAGATGGGAGCTCGGCAGCAGACGGGCAGACGAGCAGCAACTGCCTGCAGAGTGCTGCTGTTGCTTGCTGCGTGCATCTTGCAAGGCAGTTGCCAAGGTAAGCGCTGCTCCCGTTGCCCGGGAGGCTGCGAGGAGAGCCCAGCGCCGGCCGCCGGGGCAGCGGAGCCGGTGCGGGTTAGCAGGGAGCTGGCCGTCCCCAGGGCCGTATGTTGGGAGTTCATTCTGCCTTAAAAGAGCCTGCAACCCCCATCAGCTCTTCGCTTTCCCTTATCTTGGTACTAAGTAGTTATCCCGGGATGGCTTTTCTGCTTTGTACAAACTTTTCTCGCTCTGCTGGGCGCGGAGGGGCCGCTTCGGCCGTGCAGCACTGCGGTCTGCCCTCCGCGTGCCCGGGCACCCGTTCTGGCTCCGGGCGAGATGAAGCCCGACCGAACCTCGCAGAGCCTTGTTCCTCACGGTCCCTGCTCCCTTCTCACCAGCGAAGCGCGTTCTGCGGCACAGAGCGTCCCGTGCCCGGGAGCGCCTTCCGAGTGCCCGGGAGCTGTGCCGAGTGCCGGTGTCGGCGGGCAGCGGGTCCCGCACGTAGCCCGAAGCGGCAGCGCCTTGCAGCTCCTCGCGGGGAGCGGCCCCGCCGGTGCCGGTCACAGCTCGCGGCGTAGCGCCGTGGCTGGGCTTTGCCGTTGCTAGGCGACCGGCAGCATGTGACTGGGCGCGGGCCGGCTCTCGGTGCTGGCGGGACCGGGACGGATGCGCTCCCCCGGCTGTGGCGGGATGAGGGGCCGCAGCTTGCCCCTGGGCCCGGCTGTAGGGCCTAGAGCCGCCGGCCGTGCGTGTTGGTGCGCTGCGTGTGCGCCCAAATGGTTAATCTTCTTGCCTTGCTCAACTCTTAGCTTAAGCTCCTTAGACAGAATCAAGCAAGTAATTATGCAGCAACTGCTGCTAGCAGTTCCCTCTTAGAAGTGGAGAAAGAGGAGATGGCTAATGTGCAGCAGGAGCCCTGCAAAGGCCCTGGCAGGGAGGTCACACTGGGAGGCCAGCTAATCCCTTGTGCTACTGCACGCTGCGTGCAAATGGGGGCTGCGGTGCTGACCTCAAAGTGTGTTTTCTTGCTTGGCCACTTTTAGCTGTTTGGGACGTGCCCTGCAAAAGGTGTGATGGGAGAGGAGTGCAGGCTCTGGAACATGAATCTGCTCGCAGTAGAAGCAGAGTATTCCTGATTCCTCCCTGCAGTGCCTACTAAGGAAGTAAATAACTGCATAAATGAGGCTGTCTAGTATTAGTTGAAGCGTAACTGATCTTAATAAAACGTCTGGGTGACAATCCTGGCCGCATGGTGATCTTGTAAAGTATTTGATATCCTTAAGCTGAGCTCCTTGAATCCTGAGATGTCAGACTCTGATTTAAAAAAAAAAAAAAATAAAATTAGGTGAATTTTGAAACCAAACTGAGGCTTAAAAAGAAATTGGGGAAAATCACGTTATCATGCCTAATCCTCTTCTCAAGGAAGGCTTGAGATTAGCAATATCTGAGTGTTCCCAGTATGTGCTGGATGTTTCTAGAATGAGCTTCACCTGTGCACTTCCTCAGATGATAATATCACAGTTCTCCCTGTTAATTTAATTCTGGATTTACTAGACCTCAACATAGCACTTAAAAGCTGAATAAAAATACCTCCCCTTCTATTCCTTGTCATGCAGTGCCTGCTTCTGTAGGCCTCTCTAGGCCTCGTTGCCCCTAAGGTAGCAAATGTTGCAGCTGGAATCTGAAAAACTAACGGACTAACTCCGAGAAGGAGGGTCATGGGACTGATGTTAATGTTTGTTTTGAGGAATTTGGAAGGCCATCATGCTCATAGTCACAGATGCAGGATGGTTGTTGCACTCTCAGCAGCTTTGCAGAGGGCACATGAGCTCACTAGGGCAACTTCTCAGGCAAACAATGAGTTCTTTAATCTTTCTGCAAAGCATACCAAGTCTGTATGTTCATGCAGTGCTCCATGTACTGTCTGTTATTGGCCTCACCTTATCTAGAGTGGAAGGCCTGCTGGACTTCTGTTGAGGGAAGGATTTAGTACCTGAAAGTGGTTAGAGATTTTTTTGTTTCTAATGGTTTGGGGCCACTGGAGCTGTTTGTTTCTTTATAACATCATTCATATATGTGAAAATCACATAGAAATCATTCATAAAAACCGGTTTTTCTTTATAAAAAAAGAACCCTTCTCACTAAATCTAAAATATTAAGAACATTATTTCTAAACTTATTATATTTATTATCTCTGGAGTCCATGTGTCTTTAATTTAATTAAACTTCCTTTTCTTTTTTTTTTAGTGTACCTTAGGTCTTGATGAACTATTTCAATACAGATAATGTAAATAATTAAATATTTAAACTTTAGTGCTGTTTCTTCTAATCAATGCTCTTAAATTAGTGCATGTTGTAAAACATTACCATCCTTCTGTTTTTCAGAATTAAACATATTGCACTTGCATGGAAGCTTTGGCTTTGCTGTAATTTATTGCAAAGTACTAAGTTGCTTTTTAAGGCCAGACCTTCACTGTACTAAGTAGTTTACAACATCTGAATTGGAGTTTGCTACTCAACACTCCCTCTTCTCTGCTTCTGATGGATCTTTTTATTTCTTCAGCACTCCTCATGTGTAGAGGGCAGATTCACGCTGCTGTGAATTATATGAAATAAATGATTTCTTAACCAGGCAGGTGACCATAGTTTTAATGTAAACTTACAAATTCTTGGAAATGTAGCTGGAAACCTAAGCGTTCCTATTGGTGGTCTTTCTTATTACATACATGCTAGTTTTTTAATTTTTTGCATTCTATATTGAGCTAAGAGCCCAGAAGATCGCAGCTAGATTGACTTTCAAGATGTATTTTTCCTCCTTTTTTTTTCAATAATTCATAGTTTCCTGTCATTTTTAAAAGTTACTGTTGTAATCAAGTCCAGAATATAATTTTTTAAAAGCTTTTTTTTTTTTTTTTTTTTTTTTTTTTCCCAAGGAAAACCAGTTACCTGTATTCTAGGCATCTTGTCAAGATGTGATTTGCACAGCTTTGCCATTACATGAAGTTTGTGCATCACATTTGATTTACATCTTAAATCTCCAATGCGAAATTGTTGGTTTAAATACAACTCAGACTTAAAATTTGTTCTGTTAAAAGATCTTCATTTGTCTATGGGAATGGAGACCTGTTTTAAGACCAAATCTATATGGTGTTATATCAATCACAAAGAATGGTTGCATTAAGTGAGGCCAGTGATGCTTAGAACATGTATGGTAAATCCAAGCAGGGAGAAGAATAGCTTGAAGAAACATGCTTTTCCATCAAGTATTGTAAGAATTCAATCTCCAGATTAATAATTCAGTGTGTTTACAGACACTGTCTTGATTCAAATCTGTTTGATGTCTGTAAGATGATGTATAATGACATTGCTGTAGGCGACAGGCCAGAGCCAGTGCTGGTACACCGTTGTATGGCACAGTGTACGTTTCTGTGGCAGAACAGCTTGTCTGTGAGATTATGTCTCTGCTAAGACTCACTGTTAAAAGACCTTGAATGAGGCTTTCCTCAGGGACTAGGAATTTGGGAGTAATGAGGAGGAAGAAAGGATGGCAAAGAAAATGACTTTGCCAGTGCAAACCTTATGTACAGTTTAACAGGTATTGTAAATGATCTCTGGGTTGCAGCATTCTTCATATTCCTGCACTTGGGTTATTTTTTTGGTTTCTCTTGGTGATGCACTTGGAAAACATCAGGAGCAAAGCTTGGTGTCTGACTAGTTCTGAACTTTTTCCTGAGGGCTGAAAATTTGAATGTATATCTTGATAAAATACATTGTAATCTTCTGGCATGTTAATTAATGAGTTGTAGTTCTGTGCTCCGACAGTCTTTTTTTTTTTTTTTTAAAAGACTCTTTTTAATAAGTAGCCTTCTTTTAATACATATCTTGACTTTTCTTAATAATTTACTCTTTCTGTATACTGTTCAGCAAAGCATAGCAGGAATTTGCTAAGTAATCAGCTAAAGTGAAGAATGGGACGACCCCCAAAATTTTAGTTAAAAATTGAAGGCAGTAATAGGCTGACACCTGGTTAGATTGTTAGACTTAGGTTCTATGCCAAATGCTAGAGTTGCAGTAAATAATCAAGCTACAGAAGTTGAGGCATAGAGGCAGAGCATCTAAGGAGATTTTAGCTAAGATAAATGTATGATGCTTGTGTTGCTTCAGTTTCCCTGTAAGACAAACCAAAATCTTCTTTCATATATTGAGCTGATTGGAAATTTGAGCAATGAAATCCCACTTTAATCCAGATTTACTTTCCATGTGTTTTGCAGGAAATCAGCAAAGATTCATTTGGGGGAAAGGTAGAATGCAATTTCATTAAAGCCTATTAATTTCCTTTTTGGGCTTCCTGGATTGATATGAAATCAGTAAGAGTTTTTGGAGCTTTTTCCGCGTGCCATCTTGCAGTGTTAGATTATTGTCATATTGAAGTACAGTGATGTTTGCTTTTAACTTCTCAGTATTTAGTATGTAAACTGGGGGTTCATTTGTCAAGGCTTTTCTTGCTTAATACTCATATTCTTAATTACGCCCTGATCGGACATTACAGCAGTTGGGGGTATTGGGTTAAATGCCAATTCTGTCTTTCTACAAAGTTTGTTCTGAGACCTTGTGAAAACATTTTGGATGGGCAGATACCATGGCACTTGGAATCTTCCTGTGTGATCACATTTGTTAAGAGTGTTTGTTTCTGCTATTTTAAAGCTTTGTTTAATAAGTAGGAAAGTCAGATAGCATTTTGGATGTGAAGGTGTCATTGATGGAAAAACATTAAAGGTCTCTTCTAATTAATGATCTACAGATTGACATGTAAATAAAGAGAAGTTGATGCTTTTATGCTAGATTAGGTCACTGTGGTTAATTAGCTATGATAATCAGATAATTTGTTGGTGTGTTCTAATAGTTTACGCTGAGTGTGGCAAATAAAAGTCAACTTCTTTTCAAATTACTTTGAAGTGCTTCTGCATATAATTCAATAACTGTACTTTGTTCATAAAATATCTTTAAGTGTTATAG